TTCCCAACACAGCGGATCACTCAGCGGTAAGACTACTGCTCTGCTCCTACATCTGACTGAAGGTGTTGATTCACATCACTGTTATCACTCCTGCTGCAGGTCTGTGGACGTCATCATGTCTACTTTGTTGACGGTGACGGCATCTACAGGACGGACAAGAGTCACAGTTAAGACGTCACCACGTCTGAATTAACGCCAAGCTCCAGATCTACGGGTGTTAGATCTTCTGTGAATGACTCCCTCCTCCCTCCACCCATCCTTCTGTTTGTAGAGAATCCAGAGCAGGTGTTGGATCTGGAGCAAGTCTCTGGAGCAGACGATGAAAACAGAGCAGGGAGCAGAGACAGGAAGTGGAGTGTCCAGAGAATACGTCTGTCCCCAGCAGAGAAGCACCTGGCTGCTACACTGAAGGCTAACGACAGGGATGAACCGAGGTGAAGAACCCGCAAAGCAGTCCACAGTTTTAGATGTTCGTACAGTATATTCAATGTGTGTGCTGCCACCGTGTGTCCAGGTGTGTGATAGTGCAACTGGAAGGATTCAAACCCTCAAACGTCCTACTCACACTGGACGCCGTCTTCACTTTTGGTATGTGTTCAAAAGTCTGAGGTGGTGTCAGTGTCTTTGACCCCATCCTCACCCTCTCTCCTCACCCTCTCTCCCCATCTTCTTGTGTACAGAGTGGGCCACAGACCAGGTGCTGTTTTACACCACTGCTCAAGGGCTGCGCAGCAGCAGAGTGTGTCGTCTGGACCTGAGCGGCTGTGTTCACAGCATCACCAGTGTGTATGAGGAACAACAACCAGAGTGAGTGTGAATGACGTGATGTCACGGCTGTCCAGCTCCGGCTGCAGCTGCAGCTCTAACACGGTCGCGTCTCCACAGTGTGTTTGTGGAGGTGGCCCTCAGCAGAGACCAGGAGGTGCTGAGCATCAACTGCAGCAGCAGGAGCAGTTCACAGGTGATGCTGCTGCTGCAGCAGCAACACCGCTCACGGCCTCACCTGGTCCAAGAACGTCAGCCGGGGCTGCTGTACCACGTGGAGCACTGGAGAGGACACCTGATCATCCTGGCTAACACAGGACCGGGCCGTGAATATCAGGTGAGAAGACGTTGATCAGCTGCTGCCACCGTGCTCCATCAAACAAACCAATCCAGCTGATTCAGTCTGGAGAGATGAAAATATTTCAAATATTTAAAGTTGAGCTGCAGTTGGTTGTCAGGCTGCTGCAGGGAGGGGGCGCTGCACCCACCAGGGTATCATGAATTCCTCAAAGATCCAGGAGGACATGTCTCTGTGGAGAACGACCTTCTGGATCTGATCTCATCACCTCTCAGTTGGTCTTTAGGAGTTTTCAGGTCAGGGGTCACACACTCACACACACCTCTTCCTGTTCCTCCTCCGTCACCAGGTCTTACAGGCTCCTCTCTCCCAACCATCCATGGTGTCCTGGGTCCCAGTGTTCACCCCTGACCCCGGGACCGTGATCAAAGATATGGACATCGTGGGAGACCACTGTGTGTTGACTGTAAGGACAAACACCAACCACCTTGTCCTGACTGTGGTTCCACTAATGAACCAAGAGAGAGTCTACACCGTGAAGGTAAGAGAACCTTTTTTGCACCACGGACCGATGAAATGTCTGAAATGTTTTTTCACAGATCGGCCTTTAATAAAATTAATCGACCGACATAAAAACTGGTATTTTATAAATATAATTATAAACGTTATGTATTGGCAGACGCAGACCCGGCGCAGACTTTTTAAGTGTGAGTCGTGAACAGATGCGGCGTTGAGAATCCGGTCATTTTTCAAAATAAAACATCGTTCAGAATCAGATAATTAAAAAAATCTAAAATAATGTAAGTCATACATTCTTTCTGTATGGCCCGGAACCAATTGACCTAAGGACCGGTGCCGGTCTGCGCCCCAGGGGTTGGGAACCACTGGTCTAATCAACTGCAGTACACCGCTGAACCTGTAGGTGTCTCTGACCACAGTTTCATTATTTCCAGCTCCCTTCCTGGGTCTGTGTCGTTGAGACCAGGAGAGCAGCGGTACCAGAGCAGACGGAGGTGTTAGAACTCTTCATCTGGTCTCCGGTCCACTCCCCACACCTGCTGCGTCTGGACCCACACCTTGGACTTGTGTCTTCAGGCAGTGAAGCCAGTCCTTCCACAGGAGATCGGTACAAGACCACAAGCCTGGAGGCCTGCAGCCACGTAAGGAGAACCGACGGTGAGACCAAAGTGAGGAGACTGGGAGACCACCCGTGGTCACGTGACTGTCCTCCCTCTGCAGGACGGCAGCCTGGTTCCTGTGACTCTGTTCCACTCGGCGTCTGTGGAGGCTTCGAGACGGACCCCACTGCTGCTCCATGTCTACGGCTCCTATGGCCTGGACCTCGGGATGGATTTCTGCCCACAGAAAACGCTGCTGCTGGAGGGAGGCTGGGCCCTGGCCTACTGCCACATCAGGTACCGTCTCAGTCTGACCCTCAGTCCAACCCGTCCCCCAAAGCCCAGCAGACAAAAGAAAAGTTTGTGACTAAACCTGTGTTCTGTGGCTGTCAGAGGTGGAGCAGAGAAGGGTCTGTCCTGGCACCGACAGGCTCGTCGGGGGGGTAAGGAGAGGGGGGTCCAGGATCTCCAGGCCTGTCTCCAGCGTCTCTTCTCCTCTGGAGTCTCCTGTCCTTCACTCACTGCCATCACTGCACACAGTGCTGGAGCGGTGCCCGTGGCTGCACTGTGTAACAGACAACCACACCTGATGAGAGCCGTCAGTCTGCAGGTACCCTCCCTTCTAACTCCCCCCCTGAGTCCCCCGCCGCCCCCCCCTCCTGGACATGGTCTCACTTTACTCTCTGTCCTCTCTTCAGGCTCCGTTCCTGGACGTGTTGGGAACGATGGAGGACCAAAGTCTCCCTCTAACTCTGGAGGACAGAGACGAGTGGGGAGACCCCGTAGCCAACCCAAAAGACAGGCTCAGCATCGCCTCCTACTGTCCCCGTCACAACATTACTCCTCAGGTGTGGATACAGGACTTTGATCTGTGGAGGAGAAGTCCTCATCTATATATATATTTAAAGTGTGTGTGTGTGTGTGTGTGTGTGTCAGTGCTATCCCTCCATGCTGCTGACGGCCTACTCAGATGACAGCAGGATTCCATTGGCAGGAGTCCTGAAATACAGTCAACAACTGAAGGAGGCCATCGATACACACTTCAGCACAAACCCACAGCCTGGTAAACACACACACACACACACACACACACACACACCGTGGCCACATCTGTCGTCTACGTCTGTTACCTTCTTCTTTGATTCTGTCTCTGGATCTTTTTTATTCCTGTAGAACCTGGACCAGAACCAAACCTAGTTCTGAACATAAAATCTGGAGCGAGTCATCATGGACCAGACGACTTTGAGCAGATGTTGGAGGAGGTAATGAACTGTTGGTTGTGGTCCAGAGTTCCTGACCTTGACCTTGACCCTGACCTTGACCCTGGTCTTCCTGTCCTGTCACCACTGCAACATTTTCACTCCGTCTTTTCTTTTTGACACAGGAAGCTCTCAACCTGGCATTTCTCCACAAGGAGCTGGGCCTCCATCCTCCACGACGCAGGCCCAGGAGGTCAGGCTTCTGACAGCCCGTCAACAGTCCGTCAACAGTCCGTCAGTGTCGTCATTTTCTCTTTGAGTCCAGTTCAAGAAAACAAGAACACTGACTGTCTGATTCTATTTATTATTTGACTCACACTCACACAAAAGGACTGAGTCATTGTGATGATGATGATGATGATGATGATGGTGGTGGAGCTGGCTTCCTCTCAGCATCTGTAGAGAATGTCCACGACTCTTAAATAACAGGCCTTCTCAGACACGTAACACTGCGAAGGGTGGGTGGGATTGAAGCGTTTCGGAGCAGAGAACCGGACCACCAGACCTTCTCCTGGGTCTGTGTGGATGGCCGACTTCTGCAGCACCCTCCCGTGGTGGAGGTGGTTGGTGCTGAACAGCACTGTGAGCTGGTTCGGTATCTCAGACACAGAGGAGAGGTCGGTGACGGCGGACTCTCTACCAAAGTTCAACACCACCAGAAAGGCCCGGTCCAGTCCGTCGAGTTCTCTCAGGTACGAAAACACATTGGCGTCGGCCTGGATGTAGCAGAACCAGCCTCGCTGTAGAGGCAGCTCTGACTGACGCAGCGCGCTGAGGAAACTGTACTGGGATAAGACGGAGCCTTCATCCTCTTTCTGGACCTGCCAGATAAAAAGAAGAAGAAGCAGGTGACTCGATCCATCAGCTGGAGAACATCAGCAGCTGAGGGGAGATGTTCCACAGACTGAACCAGGAGCTGTACCTCCACGTTGACGCTGGTGTAGTCTGGATGCACAGGCAGCCAGCTGAGGTCGGTTTTGTTGTTGAAGCCTGCGTTCGTGCTGCTGCTCCACTGCATGGGAGATCTCTGAGGGTCACGACTGGCACTCTGCAGGAGGAGGGAGGTCAGGGAGGTCATGGAGGTCAACGCTTCAGCAACAACAACGTGAGAGAGAGAGAGAGCACAAAACTGACTGTGTTGTATCGTCCAGCAGGATCCAGGCTCCCAGTGTCGGTGAGGTGGAGGGTCCTCATGCCGATCTCCTCTCCGTAGTAGGTGGTGGCGGTGCCTGGGAGAGTCAGCAGCAGCATGTTGATGACGGGCACGTAGAGCCCGCCAGCGCCAGAGGAGATCCGAGGATTGTCGTGGTTGCCGACCTGGTCACGGGGGGAGTAAGATGGGAGTGAAACAGGTGGAGAAGGAAAGAGACGGGTGACGCAGGGAGGAAGAACCGGGTCAGAGTAGATCACGTCTGACCCCAGAGGTCAAGGCTGCACTTTTGTTCTGTTCTAATGGTATATTTTATCTTGGCCTGTAGGTGGTGCTAAGTACACATATGAGGGCCTGCCCCCCCCCCGACTTCCATATACTGTACTTGTGCATTGATCTAATAAACTGTAATCAAATGTATTTATTTGTCCCAACTACATCTGATCTGTCAACATGAAGTGTGTGAGCTCATCGATGGACTTCAACAAGCTAACTCTGCTAGCACGATCAGCTTCTCTTCTTCTGTGGTTTTTAATCGGCAGATGTCAATCGTGTGAGTGTCATTACTGCCACCTACAGTTCACCCTCTGTCACACTTCATGAAATAACATGTCAAAAGGTCAACTGTAAAGTCATCATCACCTGACACATTAGTCAGTCATCGTCGTCATCATGTGACTTCAGATCAGCAGAGGAGCAAAAACAAACCAGAACAGAGTGTGTGTGACCTGGACCACTCACCACCCAGTTGGGCCACTTTCCCTGGGGCATGTTCTGCATCCAGAGGTGGACCAGATGTTGGACCCACAGACCGCTGGTGTTCTGAGGCAGGTCCAGCAGGTGGAAGTTAAAGGGGAAGTCGCCTTCTTTGACCTGCGAGCTGCCGTAGTACATCATGGTCTTCTCCACCTCCTGATGGTCATACGACTCCGTCACCATGAGCCTGGGACCAATCACAGGGGGGCGTTAGAACGTGGAGGTTCATCTCCATCTGTTCAGTTCAGTTGACTTTTTAACAGCGACAGTCACACACACACACACACACACACACACACACACCTGTATCTGCCCGGCTCTCGACTGAACACATCCATCTCTGCCCTCCAGTCCCTCAGAAGGTCGTGAAGCCCCAGCTGACTGGTGGTGTAGTCGTGGTGCAGGTCCCACTCTGAACTAATGGACTCCTGCAGACAGGTGGACAGAGGACGGTGAGCTCCCCTGCTGACCGACCACGGACTGGACGGACAGGAAGAAGGTCCCAGACCTTCACTGTCGAGAACACCGGATGTTCCTGAGAACGATCTCCGAGTTCAGGAGATCTAGATCTGACTAAGTCAAAGAAGAAGTCCAGAGAGGGAGGGGGGGCGAGTGAGTGGACACCTGTGTTTTTGACTCAGGGAACATTCACTCCTTCACTTACACAACGCACCACTGTTCTATGTTCCCTGGAAGAACAGGAGAGCCTGGACACTAATAAATGACTTTCATTGTCCAACAGTCCAACACACACACACACACACACACACACTGAAAAAAAAAATGCAGAAACCAGATTCCGAGATGTTTCGCTCCAGTGCTGTCAGAGAATAAGACGGAGTGAGATTTTGATAAAGGTGGAGACGACTGCTGCTGCTGGTAACTTCACCACGTCTGGACTCTAACCCCTGTCACTCTTTAACCACTGTAAAACTCATCCTCAGAGAACTTTGCTCAACAAACATGAGGTGAGGAATGTGAACCTGTAGCTGCTCATGACAAACAGGAAGGAGGACGAGCGACACTCACGGGGGGTTTCTTCTGGTCCACCTGTGGCTCGTCTCTCAGGTGCGCAGCCTCTAGGATGTACTTGACTCCACCCATACGAAACCCATCCACTCCTTTATCCAGCCAGAAACGAAGTATGTCCTGAAAACAGCAGAAAAGGAAGAGACAGTCATGTGGTTCAGTGGTTCACAACCCCACAGACTTCACCAGGAACATGTTCGAGTTCCAGGGTGATGGTAGTAAAAAAAGATCTCACAATCATCTCTTGACGGACACGAGGGTTTCTGAGGTTCAGGTCTGGTTGTTCCTTGAGGAACTGATGCAGGTAGCACTGTCCTCTGACGGGGTCATAGGTCCAGGAGGAGTTCCCAAACACACTCACCTGAGGAGAAGATGAGACTCGTGAGGAAAGACGTACAGAAAGGATCCAGACGTTGCGGACACAGCGGTTGGCGGAGGAGGAACGTTCAGCATCGAACACCAACCCAGTTGTTAGGCCTGGGTGCAGCTTCAGTGCAGTCGGCCCAGATGTAGTAATCCTGGTAGTGAGGGTCTCTGGTCCGGCTCAGGTTGAACCAGCGGTGCTTGTCACTGGTGTGATTGGGGATGAAGTCCATGATCATCTTTAAATCTTCAAAACAAAGACGTCAGCGTTCAACCTTCATCTGTTCACGGCCACATATTTACACTCACAGTTACTCCAAACCTCTGCTGTGCATTTCAGCCAAAAGTTTCTCAAAGTCCTGCATGGAACCGAAGACCGGGTCGATGTCCTGGAAATCCTCTACATCGTAGCCGAAGTCCTTCATGGGAGAGCGGAAGACGGGCCCGATCCACACCGACTTGATGTTTAAGAACTCAAAGTGATCCAGCTGTTCTTGAATTCCTGCCGCAGAACAAACACACAAAGGTCAACAAAACACACACACACACACACACACACATCATAACAAACAAACATGAACTACAACATTTACTTTGATCTCATCAAACTGATGAGGAACATGTTCTGAAAGTGGATCATGGACAGAAAGATTTGTATTTTTCATCAGAGTATCTAATGATCTAATAACTTTAGCATTTAGCACCAATGAGATACAAAGCAAATAAACACATGGACAGACTCATGGACAGAAGAGGGTCCAGGGTGGTCTTCAGCACCAGAACATCTCCTACCTTTTAGATCTCCCACTCCATCACCATCTGAGTCTTTGAAGGACCTCGGGTAGACCTGGTAAACTGGCGACAGCTGCCACCAGCTCAGACAGCGTGGAGACAGAGCGATGACCGTGGCGGTCACAGCCACCAGAGCCAGGGTGCAGGCCACCGTCAACCAGAACAGGATCTCCCGGGGAACCCGGTACCGAGCCTTGGAGGAGTGCAGCAGCAGAACCTCTTTGGGCATCCCAGCGTACGGTTTGATCTGCGTGTAGTCGTCAATCACCGAGCCCTGGTCCAACTGGACGGCGGTGGATTCAGGTCCAGGCTTTCCCTCCTCGGGATCATTACCGTCCGGGCCGATGGTTTGGGTGCGTGTCTTGGTACCATCCCATTCCTGGAAATCTGGATTCTTGATGTAAGTGACCAGCTCCATGCGAGCCTGGCGTTTCCTAGAACTCATGGTTTAAACTTGTCTTTGCACCAGAGAGAGAAGAACAAATGTGAACAAGACACAGAGAGGAGGCGTCAGAGGGAACACACACACACACACACACAGAGACACTGAGAGAGAGGAGGCGTTAGAGGGAACACACACACACACACACACACAGAGAGAGCAACTCTGAGGAATGTCACACACACACAGAGCTGCTCTGAGGAGTGCCTCTCACACACACACACACAATGAGGATGTTTTATGTGAGTCTATCCGCTCGACTGTGTAATAAATGCTGTCAAGTGTCACACTGTTGTGGTTTGTTGTTACTGATTACTGAAGAACTAAGAACTGATTGACAGAATCTGTTGATTCATCACAGAGGAGCTGGACTTTGGTCATGGTGACCTGTCTTGACCTGTGGTGACCTGCGTTGACCCGTGTCCTTGAGGAAGTGATGGTCCGTGTTTCTGTCGCTGTAGATCAGGACATTAAATAAACAGGTGACCTTAAAATGTTCCAGAAGTTTCCTCCTCCTCTCAGTGATACCTCCCTGTGTATTAGGTCACCAACATGCCAAAAACATCATCATCATCATCATCATCATCATCATCATCATCATGACTCCTCTAACATTAAGAAGATGCAGTGCTGTTGTTTCAACGTTTATTTCAGTGGTGAGGATGGTTTACATTTCACATCTAACTTGAACAGTACCACAGCCTCCACTCTCTCCTACATCGGTTCCTTGGACAGAAGCTGCAGGTGAACAGGTCTGGGGTCAGTGATGGACAGAGAGTGAAAGCTGACGTGACAGAGATAAAGACATCAGAGAGTCCTGCAGGTGGCCTCCTTCTCCTGCTCACTCCTCAGCCTGGGGGCGAGCGATGGAACTCTTTGGTGCCGAGTCAGAGGAAGTAGTCACACGTCTTTGGGAGGGTTCAAATGTTCTGCTGTGAGCTGAGCTGGTTCCTGGTTCCTGGTTGTTATTCAGCTGCAGACATGAACCAGCGTGGCTGCTGGTTCGCTGCTGCCTGGAGAGTTCCAAAGTTCTGAGCAAGGCACCGCTGACTGCTCCGTCAACTCAACAACTACAAAGAAACCGAAGTGGCACCAAAACCGTGCTTATTTTCTTTAGCTTAATTCAAAACGCTGGGCTGTGTCCAAATCTAAAACAGAACGACGACGACGACGACAACAACCACGACGACCGTCGTCCTGGTCGGGTTTATGGTTGGATTTATTGAACCTGGATTTCTACTTGAATTCATCGCTCAGTGCAAAAACAATGACATTAAAATAATCCCAGAAGGAATGAAAGGGGGCTGTGGATGAGATCTGGTGTGGTCCTTTGATTTTTTTTTTTTTTGGTCAGGCAGTGGCGTGGACGGCTACCAGTGATACTCTACATCAGCTCCGTTCTGCCAGACAAAAGTGAGAGAGGAGGGAGGGAGCAAAGGGGGGAGGAAGAGAAGATATGGTTTATTTGACATGGAGCCAAAGATAAAGAAACAAAGGAGGAGCAGGAAGAGAAAAATGGACACATGGTTAGTAGTAGTAGTAGTAGTACTGCAGTACTATTCGCTGCTCTTTTTACTCTCCAACCTGCTGTGAAGACAACAGAGAAGAGACAACGGCAGAGACCGTCGTCCCTGACAACACCAGCCTGTGGCATCACGCTCACAGACGGTTCTGCGTCCACTAGCCAAACATGACACACACAAATACATGCGTGTTGGCCCAGCACCTGTGTGTGTGTGTGTGTGTGTGTAAGAGGGACCAACAGGACCAGAGACCTCTTCATCAGTCTGCTCACAAACACAAAGAAAGATGTGAGACTTGGAGTCTATATGAAGCTGCACATGCCAGAGGGTGTGTCACAGCGAGGGGGGGGTGGGAGGGTGGAGGAGGGGGCGTGTCACAGGACCACACTGACATGCCTGTAGAAATGTGCGGTGCGTGCGTGCGTGTAAGGGACGATGAGGGGTTAGAGGACAGGGGTAAGAACTGGTAATATGATGTGTCATCACTTACCAAATGAAACAGGAGGGCTGCGTTAATCAGAGGGTGAACACACAATTAGAACAATCCACACATCCCTAATGAGTGTCACTGAGTGTGTGTGTGTGTGTGTTCAGGTGTGTACTCTACAACACTACAGTCAACATTCACTGCTTCACTAAAGGGACAGGAGCTTCGTCAACACATGACTTCCACAGAGGGGATTCGAACCAGTAATGATTTTATTATCCAAACCAGAATTGGTGTTTGGCGCCACCGTGGGGTCAGCTGAACGTACAGTACATGAAGAAACCTGGCCCTGTGGAACGTTCTCTAACTCTGACAGCCAATGACACGAGAGCAGACACACGACTGTACTCAGGTGAGTCAAAGTAGAGAGAGTACCTCCTAAGACCTGAGGCTCATTCAACACTCACCCCATCCTCCTCCCTGTAGGGGATCAGATGGTTGTAGACCGCTTCGATAAAACTGTGCCTGCAGACAGACAGACAAACAGAGAGACAGACAGTCAGTCAGTCAGTCAGGCAGAAACAGATGAGACTTTAGCTGTTACAATGATCAAAGTACTGAACAGAGGCTGGGTGTGAAAACAAGGTTCAATCATAGGAAGACAACTTGGGTTTTGGTGACTGCCCTGTCGTTTTAATAACCAGCCACTAGGATAATGACTGTTTCGGAGTCTCAGTTCGGAGATCATAATATCATATCCTCATGTCTAGTTTTTCTGTTGTACCTCTGTGGTAATTCTACACAGTCCTATCAAGAAAAGGTTTCCTTACTTGCTATAAAGGCCTCCACCAGGAGGCAGAGGGAGCATATGAGCGTCAGCGGAGAGAGTCCTTGTCACGGTTCCCAGGTCAGGATAACTATCCTCATCAGCCTGAGACAGCATCTCTAAAAAAGGAGATGAATTAGGATTAGACAGAAAAAGAGTTTTGAGTTTATTCTCAGTCATGCAGGTCATTATAATGATCTCAAATTCTTTATGAGATTGAAAGAGTTGTAAAAATATACTGAATGATGTCAATTAGAAGAACAACAAACGTGTGTTTGTACCAAGTTTAAAAGTTTTCTTCATTATTCCTCACCTTTCACTCGAGACTCCAGATATCTGTTCAGATCAGCGTCTCTTCTCACAGCATCATCTGACACTTTGGGTGCGTTGGGCAAACACACCAAGACGACACTCATGTTGTCCCGACTCCCCTAAAATGAGTCAAAAACAATGATAACTGAAACCACGTTCAGCCCAGTTCATAACATCCATCTGTGTGGATCAAAAGGTTCTAATGCAGACAGGAAGTTCTGCAGCACAGACATAAACGTGTACACACCTTGTGCAGACAGGTATCCACCACTTCGTTGCAGACTCTTTCGAGGTCATCAGTTACCTCAAGTCTGGACTTCACAAAGTCACACAGCTCCTCGTTGGACATGACATCCCAGATCCCATCGCACGCCAAGACCACAAACTGATCTTGTTCTGGGGCCCGAACGACGTCGGAAACTTCTGGTTCAGGGCTGACCAGCTGCTCCGTGGGGCCCTTCCCTTCTACACACTTGTAGTCATAGTCCCCCAAGGCCCTGGAAACGGCCAACGAGCCATTAACTCTCTGGATCATCACAGAACCTCCAGCATTCTGGATTCGCTCCCTCTCACGTGGATTACAAGGCTTGTGGTCAAGTGTGGAGAAGCACACCTGTGAGTTGCGGTAAAGAACGGCCCGAGAATCACCACAGTTAATAAAGAAGAAGTGGTCAGGTGACAAGAGGACGCCCACTGCTGTGGAGCCACTACGGTCCATGCCATTCCGAAGGTCTGAAAAGCTGCGCATGTGCTCATCAATCCTCAGAAACCCCGTCCTGATCCCAGTTTTCACAGTGTCTACTGAGGGAGGAGCTTGTGCGGAGAGTTCACCAGTGGAACTGTCTGAACCGACCTGAGTTCCTCTGGCCCCAAGGCTGGCACTCATTATGTGTTCCAGAAGATGAGTAGAACAATAGTTGGCAACCCTGGAACCAGCATGACCGTCATATACAGCAAAAAATGACCAGTCAGTCATATTAGGAGCAGGAAGTCCCAGCACAGCGGTGTGAGCGTCCTCCATCTCCACCCTCCAGCCCTGCATGGAGGTCAGACCATAGCGCAGGCCGTTTCCTTCACCGTGCGAGTTGTGCTTCTCTGTCCTGGGTTTGTCCAGGAAGGCACCCATAGTTATGTCCGTCAAAGAGCCACTGCTAGCTGCGTGAGAGAAGTGAAGAGATGACAAAAGACGGAGACAACGATGAGTCAACACAGACCTGTCTTCACTGGCTTTGATCACATGACAGAGTCTGGACACTGATAATGACAGCAATGTTTGTCCTCTTTTTTTGTAAGACAGGGGTTCAAACCCCTGGCCAACGTGACACTCACTTCTCTTAAAAAGTGTAACACGGACTTTTGGATACAATATTTTGGATGTGTGCTGTGAAGGTGAACTGTTTCAGGAGCCCACAGCAGATTCACTTGATAACGTTGATTTTCTCGACAACTTTAGATTGTTGGCTGTAGACGCTGCTTGGACAAGGGGCAGAGTTCATTATCATACATGTCTTTTCAGATGTTGAACAAGGGGCAGAGGGCGGGTTCATTATCATACATGTCTTTTCAGATGCTGCCTCACCAAAGGCTGATGACCAAGACGATGATGGCTCTGACTGTTCTGGGTTTTTAAAATGCACAGCTTAACGATTGGCCCATGGTATTTTAACAGCTGATTGTAACATGGACCGTCCACTGGAACAACACAAAGACCATAAACAGGTTGGACATTAGTCTGGTAAAAAAAATCATTCTTCTGTGAAATTCCATTCAACTTATTAGTTGTTGTTGTTGTTCAACTGTGCATCAGCGGTAATTAAACACCTGTGGCACATCGTTACTGTCTGACTCCCTGACCCTGGTGACACCTGGTGAACGTAGTTCCTCACAGGGTCAAAAGGAAGATAAAAAAACTGCCACTAACAGATGTAGTTGACACACCAATGACGTAAAAACAGATGTAGTTGACACACCAATGACAACGGTTTTCATCATAGTTCAATGACATTTGGGTTAGGGTTTCTAAAGCTGTGTACATGTTGTAGTCCCGTCAACGAGAGGAGACGCCAAAAAGGGCATGACTTCAACAGACAAACACTTCATACCCTACCTGTGTCAATAAGGTTTCCAACTGACTTTGTTTCAAAATGGAATGTTTTGACAATAAACCATAATGTATTGTTGCCTGTTACTGCCAATGTTGTCCTTTTATCCGCTTAACTTTGATCTGTTTGCTGGTGTCACTACTTTGACAGCACGACATCACAAATGATCTCAATTCCAACCTGACGATGGACGGATGCTTGGATGGTTGAGTAGAGTCTCCAGTTAAATTCTTTGATCTGTTAAAGATAAACTCTTTAAAGGATCCAGTAAGGATGCTGCTGGTTACAGTGAGCAGGGCCCTGTGTCGCTTCCGGTCCCCAAACCCACCTGTGAACGGTCCTCAAGAGAACCAAGAAATACGGGGTTCTTCCACTTAATCTGGTATGACTGCAGGCTGGTACGCAGGAAAGCACCACGGTTCTTAGACTCCAGAACAGAACCGAAGTCAGAACCAGAAATAAATGATGAAATCTACACTGCTCAAAAAAATAAAGGGAACACTAAAGTAACACGTTGTAGATCTGAATGAATGAAATATTTTTAATAAATACTTTGTTCTTTCCATAGTTAAATGTGCCTACAACAAAATCACATTTTTTTCGGTCCTGCTGCTGGGTTGTTGCCCTCCTGCAGCCTCCTCCACGTCTCCTGATGTACTGGCCTGTCTCCTGGTAGCGCCTCCATGCTCTGGACACTACACTGACAGACACAGGAAACCTTCTTGCTACAGCTCACATTGATGTGCCATCCTGGATGAGCTGCACTACCTGAGCCACTTGTGTTGGTTGTAACCTCCGTCTCATGCTACCACTAGAATGAAAGCACCGCCAGCATTCAAAAGTGACCAAAACATCAGCCAGAAAGCATCGGAACTGAGAAGTGGTCTGTGGTCAATCAGTGTTGCTTTCTAAGTGGACAGTTCGATTTCACAAACGTGTGATTGACTTGGCGTTACATTGCGTTGTTTAAGTGTTCCCTTTATTTTTTTGAGCAGTGTATTTTATAGACTTTAGTCAGGTAGATTTATAGATTTACAGCTAACAGTCAGTTAAACACCTTTTGAGAGCAGCAAATATGGATGACTGGATGACCAAGGTGTTCTGTACAGTTGGATCAGCGATCGTGTGGCTAGGTCACCTCAGTGAAAAGCAAACAATAGTCAATGAAGTCCGTTACAGCATCTGTGTGCAGGTTTAAATACAGAGGTAGATTAGATGGAATAAAAACATCCAAAACACGTTGAATCTGGAAGAATAAATAAACGACTCGTCTGCCTCTGTAGTTCACACTAATGTAATGGTATATTATCACCAAGACACGTACATGTGGCTCGTACACTGCACATGAACCTCAAGCCCGTGACCAGAAACGCTGGCCTTTGGCTTGGCAATCACGTTAACTTTATCTTACGTCATCTTTGTGGATAAGTAATCGCGGTTATAACCACGATATAAACCGAATTGACGACGATAGCTTTTTGTAAACAAACGTTGATGGTAAACGGACGTTTAGGCGGGGATCCCTGGATTAATTAATGCGTTATTTATATTCATGGTAGTATTTAACACTGGTTACTGTGTCAGACTGTGGTCACTCATTTGTAAGCGGGTTAAGATCTCTGAATTAGTGGGTCTGCAGTGACCAGCAGTTGATGCAAACAGCTTAGTAGCCACTTGTTAGTGACTGGAAACGAGACGATGTATTAGCTAACTTAGTTGCCAGTTGACGTTTGTGAAAAAGCTCTCTTAACGACAACAACGGACGTCACTTACTGTGTACAGCAGGAAGTATCCGTCAGTCGTTCGTGTCGAGCCTCCGCAATTAGGCGTGTTTAGGCTTCTTCACCTCGGCTCAATTTTAGCCTCTTTGGTTTCTCGGCCGCTGCTCGTCACTTAGCCGAGACTCCGCTTCGCCAGCATTTTTTAACCGTCACCTCTTTTCTCAGCACCGAGGTTGGACTGGTGTGTACATGTGTAGGTCAGTTAGACTTCACTGTAACGGATTAATGAACATGACTGCGGCGTGGAAACAGAAGAAAAACACTGCAGCGTTGAGCCACAGAGCTAACTGTGGCTAATGCTAAATGTATGACGCTGATGACGTTCTTTTTAAAACACCCATCTTTGAGGCGGGCTTTTTTCTTTGTTACTTTCTCTGATTGGACGAAATGTGAAGACGCGATTGGTGAAATAAATAGTCTGTCAGATGTCTGACCATTAAAGCAGTGTCGTTAGTGACGTCACCCTGACGCCAAACGCATTAAAACCAGATTTCTTTTTCTGTTTTTCTTTAATTTCATGCCTCCCGCGCTATGTGTAGGGCCACTTAGTATTTATTTTTTTACTTTACTTTATTTATATTTATTATTCACAGCACTAAACTCCTGCTTCACAAAGAAAGATAACACAACAAATAGTTTTGATTTATGGCTGCAAAATGGTGCTCAAACTACTGCTTCACAAAGAAAGATGAGACAAGTACTTTTGATTTATGGCTGCAAAATGGTGCTTTGGTCTGTGTTTTTGTTTGAGGAAAAATATATTTGTGTTACATTACTAACAGTTCCTTGGTGTTGATTATTTCTATGTTTATTATTTTGTCTTTGTGTTTTAAATATTTTAATTTATGTTTCACATTGCTCAATCGACCCAGAGAGCAGTGTGTGGGACAGTGTCAAGCTCAGAGCACCTCAGTGCCAACTTGGCAGCTGGTGGATTCTAACCTGCAACCTTTCAGACCCAGGTCTGCTTCCTTAACCACCGAGCCATCACTGCTTTTTCATACAACAGTATTAAAGAATCAGAGAGACCTCTCAGAACAATCCTCGGCCTCCGCTGCTTTTCCTGGTATAATCACGGAGTCTGGCTCCTCCCTGCTCACTGCCACAGTCAAGGCCGCCCTGCCCCCGGCTCTCCAAACACAAGAGCACTTGGACAGATGATTTCCGGCTCTTCAGGGGAGCAGGTTTCTTGTTGTTAACCCAGGGGCTAGGTCAAAACAATCATTGTCTGCAAATTGGAGCTTAAAAAAGAAAGTATTGGATTTATTTGCCTGTCCTCTCCAGACGTCTCCCCTCTGAGCTGTCTCACACCTGTGCAATATTACAAAATGACTTAGCTGCCGGCAGCTTCTGCGGGTTAATTAGGAAAAGTACAAAGTTGCACATGCATGAAAAATGTGCGTTATACGAATAGATTAATGGGATTAAAGGGATTAAACAATGGTTTAGACTGTGTCTTTCCTGTTTTGTCTCAAATAGTCCCCTCTTTTGTCTCCGTCTCTCCCCCTGTCTCTCTCACTCTGGTCCCTGATCAGCACCACCGCCTTGATGTGCCCTGGGGCAGCGTAGGAAGAGCCCAGCTGCCCAGTGCAGATTACCACCACCACAGCCTGGTGCCCCCTGCCTACATTCACACATGAACGGTTGGAGCTGGGGGAGGGGAAGCAGTAATGGTACAAATGTCATTTCTGATCACATGACCATAACATCAAGTGGCAGATATTGAATGAGACGGACTTTTCAGTAAACAACCTTGAATGATTGCACTGGTTATTCCAGTTCAAGGGCTCAGTAAACTCAAGTCCAGACGTACTCGTTGCTCAATGCTCAGCTGCATCAGAGTTGTGTAATGGTTCTTTAATAAAATGTACGTCAGTGGTAATATCCGTAACGTCAGAAAAGACCAATCAGACCAGCAGTGACCAGTCAGTCAGTGAAGTACTGTTGAAGGGCCCTGTTATCAAAAGACTTGGTGACGTCTGTAAAATGGAAACAGCAACTGTGTGGAACCCAGAGTCCAGGATGGGTAGTCGATCAAAGAATTACAGCTCCATCTAGCTGCAAACATAGGTGTAACAATGAAGCTGGCCAACGAGACCAGAGGACAGGGATCCATCCTGAATCTACGTGGTCTGAAAGTGTCCAGCAGGTCATTCCAGACCAGTAAATGGTCATGGTTCCGGGTCAGTCCTGTGGTAATAAACTTGAAGTAAACAACACTTAACCCTGATACCCATTGAAATGGCAATAAACTGATTGATTCACTGTGCAAACTGTACACATGGGTAACCCAGGGGATTCTGGGAGGATGTGCATTCCACGTCTGCTCTTTTGGGATTTGCCATGTTTCCTGACATGTGGAGAAGAGTTCAGCTGGAAGAAATCATGTAACAAATCAGCAGCAGCAGCATCATGTCCCTGGGCAGATCTTCACTGATCACTCATTTATACACAAATCATTTAAAACTTAAACCTCAACCAGCTCTGGTTTAGTCAAAATGATGTTGTGTCACTATGACAAGTGGTTTATGTTCACTTTTCACTTTATTCTTGAGTGATTCAGTGGATGGTCACATGTTGAACATTCTGGTTTTAGGACCTTCCTGAATGAGGCCAACAAATGAACTACTGTTTCTAGTCCAAATGAAATTATGTCAATTCATATAAATATGTTATTTACTGCCGTAGTACTGTAGTCACAGTAACAGTAACTGCTGCAGTCTCACTCTTCTTCATTTCACACTCATTAATGACCTTCAGGCAGTTCTCCCTGAGGGGATACAAACTCAAACCACAGAGTGAGAAGTGCCAAAGACCTAGAAGTATGGGGGGAGGAGGGTGGGAGTGGGGTGGGGTAATAAGACATGTTGTTTATGTAGAGGCTGTTCACATCAGTGCATTCATTTACTTATTTGTTCCTCGTTTCGTCCCCTCTGAAAAGGCTCTGCTCAGTGTCACTTTAAGCTGACGTGCGCGGCCTGATCTGTCTGACAGCACACATCTGTCTCTCTGCCCTCTCTCTCTCTCTCTCTACCACACCGAGCGTGTCATGGCGTGTAGGTGTTGAAGCATGAAGGGTTTTCCTCCTCTCATGGAAATAACAACGTCAGTCTGTGACACCGTGTCTGTGCAGCCGCCGTGGATCTGCAGGACGGTCTTCGCCGTGACTCACCGGTGAAGGAGGAGAGAGTTGAAGAAACTCCGAGGTCGTGGGTGAAGCTGATTAACAGGAGGAGACATCTCATTGTTTTGACTTTGCTGAAGGAAAACCAAGCGGTCTATGGGTGAGTGTGAGAGGGACACTCAGTGTGCCTGTGTAATTATTCACCCTGACAGATCGTGTGTCGGTGTGTGTTGTTGGCTCTGTGTGTGTGTCCCTCCAGTTAAAAACTAATAGAAGGGGATGCGCGGCACAAACAGACGGAGTGACTTCGAATGCTGCACATAGACTTTGACCAATGAAAGCAGACGATCACCCCCGGCACAGCTGCAGCTCTTCACCTTGTTATGTGGAATTAGTGCTGCATGCATCAAACGAATTAAAAGCAAATTAAGTATAGATTATATACAGAGTAACTGCTATTTAGTTCACAGTAGATGTGTTTACTAGATGTGCATAAAAACAAAACAAAACAAAAAACAATGGTGCCTTAAAAGGACAAGGACATTGGTGAAATACAGGAAATGTCAAATTCCTAAATGCAATGCTATGAAGTCCAACTCCATGAACCATTGGACAGGCAGCAGGCCCACAAAATAACACCATCTACTCCTTTGGCAGCTGAATAGAATAGACTTTATTGTCATCATTAAGTGAAATAAAATGGAGAGAAATGAAAACCAAGTCAGTATTTTCATATGAGCAGCTCATTTGTTTGACATAAAATACTTCATTCGGAGGGAAATGAAAACCAAGTCTGTTCTATTCACTGGAGTAGTTCATTTGTTTGACATAAAATACTTCATTTAAATAAACATGTCAAGGAACAAACACAACACAACCAGGTGGTACACGAGTGGGCCGTGGGCCTGGTGTTGGACAAACCCTCTATGAACCTTTGGAAAGCATTCAGGAGGTTGTAGCAGCCAACGGACTAACGTCTTCTCATTTCCTGTACGACTTTTACACACACACATCTATCGCTGTAGAAACTAACTGATAAAACGACTTGTTTTTAGTGGAAAACGTACACACACACACATCTATCTAACTGTTAAAACGACTTGTTTTTAGTGGAAAACGATATTATTTCAACGATTGTATTCTTTTCGAGCAATAGAATTAAAATCAGAGGGAAACGCTGTGGGAGAAGCCGACCGAGGGGGGGCAGTAGTACTGCATTCTGGTTATCTGCAGGAAAACATATAAAAGAAGAAGAAGAATGTTGACGTCATCAAAAGGCGACGTAACGGCATTGCTATCACTGTGGACGACTGTTGTTGTAGATTCAGTAAACGACACACGTCTCTTTTTTTTGGAGTTGAGACAGCGGCGAGAGTAACCGTGAGGTTTGTCAAATCTTAATCTACCTGTCAATCATTTTCACGATTTGTAAAATCGAACGGTGCGAGAACGACGTGAGATGAAACGTCTTCTGTTTTTACATGTGCTCACAGAAAACACACTCGTATGGCTACAGTGTTAAGATAGTAACGATGTTCTCCGTGTAACTGTTGATTGTGTTGTCGTTGTTGGTTTCACACACACTCACATTACGGTGTTTTTTCCCTCTCTCTCCTGTTTTTTTACCCTGTTGCTTCCGCTTGTTTTAGGCCATGAATCCATCAATCAGACGCAGACTTCCTCCGTCGGTGAGACGTCTTCTGACCGACATCGGTCCAAAGGAGGATTGGAGTGATGACGAACCAGCGCCCTCAACTGTAGATGGAGTGTTACTCCCGAACAGAGGAGAAGAGAAGTTTCTGGAGCCTGCCAAGTCACGGGAGGATGAGAGTAAGGCCCGGAGGAACGCGCTGTGCATGATATGTAAACGTAAGCCCTCCTGCTACAGCTGCCCTCGCTGTAACCAGCCGTACTGTGGCCTCGTTTGTTACCAGAGCCCAGCTCATTCCACCTGCTCTGAAGAATTCTACAAGGAGTGTGTTCTGAAGGAACTGAAACACATGGGGAGGACGGACGACAAAGACAGAAAGAACATACAGGAAATGCTTGTCGGGCTTAAACACAAGGCTGAGAATACAGAAGGGGGGATGGAAGGTTTGTTGAAGGAGGCAGGTGTGGTGTCGGCTGAAGGAAGAGATGGTTTGGAGGAGAAGGTGGAGGTGATGGTGCTGCTGTCCAGGTTGGCTGAGCTACAACAGTCAGGGACGGGACATGAACCTGAGATCGAGGCTATTGTAAGGAAGCTGGAAGAAATTGGAGATGTGGAAGATGATGTTGATGAGGAGGAGGAGGAGACAAACTGGAAGCTGGAATTGGCAGAACGTTTTTCACAAATGGATCTGGATAAGCTTTCTGAGCAGGAATTATGGGAAATTCTTAGTCAAAAAGAGAGAGAAAAGTTCATCAGTCTGACAAAGTCTGGAGCTCTTGACAGAGTGGTTCCCATCTGGATACCGTGGTGGGAGGAACATTATGAACGCACACTGGTGGATGAGGTGAAGCACGAGGGTCCGACGACTGTGGGAGAACGAGGTGATCAAAGTTTAGAGGCACAGGTTTGTAATCATGACAAATCAACAGAAAGTGCAGTATTTTCAAATGTGCCTCCACTTTCTACAAAAATATCCAAGTTGAGTTCCATGTGTGCCCGTCCCTCTCCTCTCATATGCTTCAGTTTGGTCAACGCGCTCTTTGTTTATGTTTTCACACTGGTCTTATTCAACGGTGACGCTGACTCTCTGATGTTTGACTTCTGTGACATGGTTCTGGCTCTGTCTGAAGCCTTTGACTCCAGCAGGGTGTTCAGCTCTGTCCACCAGGCCTTGGCCTCTGCTGAAGCTCTCATGTTGCGTGAAGGATACTTGGACAAGGAGGATCCTTTGGCCCCGGCGAGGGCTCTGGAAGCAGTGGCTCACGTCATGTCAGGCAGAGATCCAAAAGACTCCACAGGCTACTGTTTAGCTGCCCTCAGCCAGCTTCGCTCTGTGTTTTCACAAGCAGGAAGTGCCTTATCTAAAGAAGGAGAGGAGGGAGCGAGGAGGCACAGGTACTTCCTGGCGAGAAAAAAGTGTGAATTCTTTCAAGCCTGGGTGTTGGAAAATGTGTCTGAGATTCAAAGAGTTGCTGTTGAATTATGGACTGAATACAACAAGAGACAGAGCGCAAGAAAGTGCCTGGAGTCAGCAAAGACGACGGTAGAGCATCAAATCAAAACAGTGAGAAGAAGAAGACACAACAGTCATATCATCCAGGAAGTTAGCCAATGAGAACTCTCTTTAACGTGTGTTTGATGTACTGTAAATATAATGTGAAGATGATTTGTGCACACAACAGTAAATACAGGTTTAGAAATACATTTTCCTGAAATAAAGTGAAAGTGATTTGTCATTGTTGCACAGCAATATATACAGTGAAAGTGATTTATTTGTCATTGTTGCACAGCAATATATATATGTGTATATATATGTATGTATGTGTGTGTGTATATATGTATGTGTATATATATATATATATATACATACATACACACACACATGTGTATGTGTATATATATATGTGTATGTATGTATTTTTCTCTTTTTCTCTTCCGTCAACAACGCATTATTTATGCCAGAGAGACGCGTCTCTGAATCTCGCGATAATTCCCTCACGTCACGTGTCACGGATGCCCTTCCATTCTGCGAGAGCAAACATGGCTGCACTCTTGAGATCAGCCCGGCTGCTCAGAATTTCGCCTTCTGGTCTGCGTCACATCACAGGAACCAACAGGACCGGGTCGACTCCTTGTCTGTTCTACAGCGGAACCCCCAGCAGAACCAGGAACGGAGTCTTGTCCAGATTTATCGGCCCTGCTTTAAGAAATGGCCCCAGCAGGTGAGAACCTAGCGTGTTAGCTTAGCTCTTGACGCCGTTAAACACGCGTGAGCTAGGAGGTCATTGAAACTCAATGACAGCCGCAGACACATGTGTTTGCGGTTCCTTTAACTGTAACCTGTGACACAAACATGTATATTTATGTGTGTGTTTATGTGAGTAACGTTACTAGAACACGGACTCTAGGAGGAAACTTGTTTTTGTGGAGACTTTGATAACACGTTCATCCATCTCTAGCGCCAACCATCGCCACTCGATAATGTGGGCTGTATTAGAGAATGTGGACTTCATATACCAAAATGTGGGCTTTATGAACCTTAAATACCGCCGCTGTTGTTCAAACGTGAAGTTTAACCTTTTGTCATTGTAGGAATCGTCAAAGTCAGTGCATCCAGGGTTGAGTCGTGTCGTGAAACTAGTTATCCAACATGTTAGCATTTAACCTTAGATCCTCTAACCCTGTCTCTCTGATGATGATGATGATGATGATGATGAAGCTGATGATGATGTTTCAATGGTCTTTGCAGTGCTGTGTGGACGTCTCCTGTGGGCTGTGGCCGCAGCTATGCTGTAGCTGCAGATGAGAGAGAAGATGCCAGCAGCGCCCTGCTGTCTCAGCAGTTTGACTTGTCTCTGACCAGGTTGGACACGTCTGTGAGGAAGACAGGACGGATCACCAAGACACTGCTGCTGAGCATCTTCCATGACATTTGCAAGACAGGTAAAGCAGCAGAAGGATGTGGGCAGCTACTCACTGTCAGCGCCGCTTTAAATGATCTAGACTAAAGTAATCGGGGTTTCAACTTTTAGTACTCCTCAGAAGTAGACCTCCCCCCACTCTATGTATCAACATTCTGGCTGTTTTTAGACTTTACTGTCATTATGTAAGAAAACAAGGGTGTTATGGCTATATCTTCTGTTTCTGTTACCCTCTGTTCTCCGCCTCTGTCCACAGGGTATCCCAGTGGCAACCTGGCTCTGTTGTTACTGCGCAGCTGTGGCTCACTGCTGCCTGAGGTTCCTTTGGACCAGCGCACGGCGTTGGCCCACCAGGTGTGGGAGAAGCTGCAGGGGTTGGGTAAGCAACTGAATATCTGCGGAACGTGACGTGACATGAAGGTGTCAGGTGTGACCCCTGGTTTGAATCACGGCACTGTTGTCTTGACGTTGACATCTGCAGGTGTGAAGTTTGACGTCAGCCACTACAACGCTCTGCTCAAGGTTTACCTGCAGAATGAGTTCCAGTTCTCGCCCTCCGACTTCCTGGACAAGATGGGAGAAGCTAATGTGCAGCCCAACAGGGTGAGTCCTGCGACCTGTGACCTTGGCCTTTTTTCACACACACATGTTGCCTTCAGGTCAAATTGGTTGGAGTTTTTTGAATCATTGTTTTGTGTAATGTCCTAAGACAAAGTGTCTCCGTCCAGGGTGACATCATCCCAGGGTTACGGTGTGTGAGGTGCTGGGAGTTGCTTCTAAAAACAGCGCTGCAGCTCCAGCTGTGACTGTAGTCTGACTGCAGTGTGTTTTCTTCCAGGTCACCTATCAGAGACTGATAGCAGCCTATTGTCAAACTGGAGACATGGAGGGAGCGAGGTGAGAAAGTGTGGCCCCCGAACCACAATGAGTTTGTGGTAGTGGACAGACGCCACCTGTCTGTGCAGAGGATGTTCTGCTTCTGACCATTTTCTCTGTATGTGCAGCACCATACTGGGCTTCATGAAGACCAAAGATCTCCCCATCACTGAGGCGGTCTTCAACTCTTTAGTGACCGGACATTCTCGAGCTGGGTGAATATGCTGCAGTTTTTTAATTTATTTTTTTATACACTTTTCTAATGAGGCTCCTGTAACGATGGTCCAACCTGCTGTCCTTGTCCTTGTCCTTGTGCAGTGACATCGAGGGAGCTAAGAACATCCTGTCTGTGATGCGCACGGCGGGACTTGAACCAAGTCCTGACACTTATGTGTCCCTCCTCAGCGCCTACGCTGAACATGGAGACCTGGACAGCCTGAAAACGGTGAGTGTGTGTGTGTGGTTTGTTTCCTCCTTTAATGACAAATGTTCCCGTCAGCCTCACACACACTCTCACTCTGTGACCTCTCTGTGTCAGACCATGGCTGAAGCTGAGTCGGCCGACTGTGAGTTCACCCACAGAGACATGGCCCAGGTCATTCACAGCATGGTCCGGGCGGGGCACCAGCAGCATGTCCCTCATCTGGTTGAGCACTTCAAGTCCAGTCATGGAAGCTTGCCAGGTACACACACACACACACACACACACACACGCACACACACAGAAGGTAATTGTGCCAATGTCAGCTGTTCTTCCTGAGGTTGAGGAGAACCTCCACTCCACTTGTGTTTCTGCAGATACCATGAACCTGTGTTTGAGCCTCGTCACTCAGGGCCACCACGACACCAGTTTCCACATCCTGAAGACTTTCTGCACCCAGGCGGACGACACTCTCCGCCGGGACTCCATCCTCCTGTCGTCCCTCTTCCTCAAACACTGTGTGAACGTGGACCTGGTAAAGATGAACCTGACTCTGGTTTCTTTGTAACAGTCACGGGTAGTACTGTTGGACTGTAGTACTGTTGGACTATAGTACTGTCAGTTTAATGTCAGCCAGTCAAACTGATTGTCCAGTCAGATGTGATTTGGTAAGAAAAAAAAAATCAAACATTGACATCTGTGATGTCAACAAACAGTTGAACCAATCAGGTGGTAGAATGTCAGGGAGTTGATTATTTTTCTGACCAATAAACAAACTCGTTAACCATTGACCACAGGAATAGAGCTGCAGTCATCCTTGTTTTGGTGGGTGGCGCTGTTCCATTTTCAATAGTATATGTAATAATAATTATTTTGTAATAATTTTGATGTGAGGGAGTGGATTTGGACACATGGACTCTGTCTCTGTCTCCGTCTCCAGCCCCTGACAACGATCCAGGGCTACTGTCAAGAACTTGGTGACACGGGGATGCACACTTCTGCGCTGACCTTTGCTCTGTCCTGTGCTCTGGAGGCCAAGAAAACCGGTACAGTTTCATTCACCCCGTGTTTGACCTTTGACCTGAGAGAGGCTTGAATTCATGTGAATGTGAGCGTGTTGAAACGACCTGTGAGTGACCTTGACCTTCAACAGATGTGTCTATGGAGATGATGAAGCTGATGAAGGAGCAGGACCTACCCATAAGGCCACACTACTTCTGTCCTCTCCTGGTTCAAACTCTAAAGGACAAGAATGTAGCAGGTGAAACACACACACACACACGTGTATGTGCTCATTAGCTCATGGTAGCAGGTGACGTGGCTGGTGCTAACGCTCTGAGGGAGTTGGTCACACGCCTCAGTGTGCACCGCTCATGAATAATTATAATAATAATCAGGCGCTGTGTCACTTTTTGTCCACAGGTGTCACTAGCGGCCACACGCAATGTCTTAGGATGGGTAGAGATCAGCAGAGGTTGAGGGGAAAAAAAGAAAAATCAATATATACATATATATATACTTTTTTTTTTTTTGCACCAAAATTACAATTTTTGGTCAAAACCGAAAATGAGGAAACCAGGGCCAAAAACGGAAAGAAAAGATTATGTCATTATAACTGACTGTGAACTAAACCTCAATAAAACCAAGGCACTGCAATTGAATAAATTAATATTAATGTTTCAACGAATAAAACAATTACAAACTTATGAAAATGTCCTCTCCTCGTTCAAACTCTAAAGGACAAGAATGTAGCAAAATCTGTGGTTTGGTTTGACTTGACTTGACAGCAGTGGAGATGGTAGTGAGAGGGAGGATCAGTGAGTGATGTGAAAAGACTGTGCTCCACCTGCCATCATACAGCCCCGGTGACTGGGTTTAATGGCATATAAAAGCATGAGCCTCATCTTTAATTTAGCTGCAGGTAAAAACACTGAAAAGAGATACACTCAGCTGTGGGGGAGGGGGGTAGGACGGGGGGGGGGGTGCCACTCTGCAGAGGTTAAACCTTCATCTTCTTCTTCATCATCTTCTCTCTGTGATGCTGATGTTGTAGGGATGGTGGAGGTGCTGAAGAAGATGCAGGACCTGGGTCTGTCTCCTGACGCTGACATGCTGTACACCTTCATCCTGCCGCTGTTCCCCAACAGAAACGCAGCTCGAAAGGCCCTGATGGTGAGGACGCCGTCGCCTGTGTCTCTGCTCGTGATGATGATGATGATGATGTTCTAAATAGAAAGACCCACGTTCTCTAACATGACACTGACCTCCTCTGTTCAGGACACGGGCGTCCTTGGAGACTGCAAGGCCATACTGGCCGTTGACGTCCCCTCCATGGCCATGAACAACTTGGCCGAACTCTACGACCTGTGTAGGTCCTTCTGTCACGTGGTTCTCACAGACTCGGACCTGAACCTTCTGGTCCACAGCCGTGGAGCTGCTTCTTACGGTTCTTGACCACTCTGTGCTGTGTTTGATTCCAGTGTCAGACCCCTCCAGCCCCCCAGTGAATCACAACACTTTTCGTGCCGGTCTCATCCAGGGCTTCAGAGGGTGAGTCTCACCCCCCCCCCCCCCCCCCCCCCCTCCCTGGATCCGTCCGGATCCATAATTCCTGACTTGATGCTCTGGGCCAGTGGCTTCACTGTAGCAGATGCTCTGAGTGTGACAGTTAATCCCAATGGGGAAAGGCTCAGAACACACACACACACACTCACACACACAGACTCACTCTCTCTCTCGCACTGATGCCTCATACATATGGAGGCTGTCACCTCAAAGCATTGTGGGAGATATGTAAATGAGCAGATATGCCCTTTACACCTACACTGTAATCACACACGAGGTGTGACCCCAGGGCCGGGCTGTGACCCCAGGGCCGGGCTGTGACCCCAGGGCCGCGCTGTGACCCCAGGGCCGGGCTGTGACACCAGGGCCGGCCTGTCTCTGTCCACTTCACCTCATAATAATCCTGATAATTCTGTTGTTCATAATAACACTGGTGTGTTGAGAACACAGCTCGTTCAAAGACAAAGGAACTGTTGACTGCTGCCATGTGCTCCTTCTCATGTCTTGTCCTGTACTGCCCCCTGCAGGTCTGATGATGTGGAGAGCATGGTAAAGGTAAGAGCCCAGCAATTCCGTGTTGGTCTGTGGAAAGTAGAAAACTGACAGATGTGTCACAGACACAGTTTTTAGTTCCCTAACCTGGGGACCTTATATTTAACTCATTTTTGGACAAAGTATAGAACTTGCTCTGTCCACTCCAATGTGGCAGTGGTGACTTAGTGGTTAAGGAAGCGCACTTGGGTCTGAAAGGTTTCAGGTTCGAGTCCACCAGCTGCCAAGTTACCACTGAGGTCCCCACACACTGCCCCCTGCTGACTGTGGTGATGGGTTTTCAGAGAAGTAGGGTTGACTCGTGTCTGTGTCTGTGTCCTCCATGTCTGTGTGACTCCGTTGTCCCTCTGTCCTCCAGCTGACTGAGCTCATCTACAGAGACGACCGCTTCACCAGGCCAAACTCCGACCCAGCTGGTAGGTTTAGTCAGTATGTGTGTGTGTGTCAGTAAAATACAACAGAAAAATAAAAACGTGTGTCTGTGTGTGTGTGTGTGTTTGTGTGTGTCTCCCCCTCCAGAAACAACATCGTACTTTTTGTACAATTTCTTTGAGAGAATGACTGAGGAGGAGGTGCATCAGAACAAGGACAAACTGAGGAAGTACCTGAAGATGCTCCGGGCTCAGGTATAAACACACACACACACACACACACACACACACTGTGATTGATTATGAGGTCAAGGGTCGATCACTGCACCAGTCACAGTTGACCCTGACGACCTGCTGCTGTTCCTCATCTCTCTCCTCTGCAGAACATCAACATTCCCACCAACATCTACAGAGGCATCAAAACTCTCCTGGAGAAGTACCATGTCCCAGAGCTCACCAAGGTAGAGAGCGCCACCTCCTGTTGTTGCTACCACACTGCCTGTTGATGACGTTTTGTCCTCACACAGCTGACGTTCTTACTCCTGTGTTGTCTCTTTAGGATGTGATGGCTAGCTGTGTTGTCTCTTTAGGATGTGATGGCTCTGGTGGACCAACAGGAGGCTGCAGCAGCTGTAAGTGAAGGGGGGGGGGCACACGGTGGAGACGGTGAATATATATTTGTATACATGTATCAACATGTGTTTGTTCCTCTGGGCCTCCATCAGCTCACTGACCCCAAGGTCCTGGAGCAGAAGTTGGTCCAGCTGAAAGCTGCCAACAAACCATTTGGAAGAACCCTGTACAGAACCATCGTGGTTCTGTGTGAGGAGGAGGTGAGATCTGTCAGCTCCACAGACGTTGGATCCGCAGATTTGAACCCTTGACCCACTGAGATGGTTTCTCTCCCGGTCAGAACCTGCAGCAGGCCCTGCAGCTGAAGCAGCAGCACGAGGACCAGATGACGGCCGAGATCTACAGCGTCCTGATCCGAGCATGCAGTCGTCACGACGACCACCTGGAGGTGGCGCTGAAGCTGAAGAAAGAGATGTGAGTGGAGCAGGAACAACACACACACACACGTACACCAGTGCTGTGACCAGTTCAGGTCACCAAGTCCACTGGGTCCAGTCTGACCGGCTCCGTGTCTCTGCAGTGATCAGAAGGATCCGTCTATGGTTCTGGAAGCCAGTGCTTACCTTTCCCTGGTGAGGGTGCTCTCCAAGGACGGCAGAGTTGAGGGTAAGTGGCCTAAAACCTCACATACTGAAGTACGTGATTTGTTTTTTGACAAATATAAAGCAGAGGTCACCAACAGGTGGTTTACGCCCCTAGGGGACCCAGGGAGGTAGTGCATGGAGAGTTGTGAAACATTTAGCAGAAAGAAGTTTTGTGTTGTCATCCACATGTTGTGGTCCAACATCTGGTTGTGGATCCAGGAGATGTTGGTCTGTCTTTTCTTTCCCATCTTCTCTGGTCGTCTAACCTTACCCCACCTCCCTTCCTCACCCCTCTCACACATCTGAATTAGTAAGACTCAGAGGAAATCCTAGGACTGCAACCTGCAGGTGCTAATGATGAAGCTAACGATGAAGCTAATGATGATGCTAATGATGAAGCTAATGATGATGCTAATGATGAAGCTAACACACCAGGCATGAAGTCACGTTTAAACCTGTGCTTTTCTACCACCTCTGTATGT